AGAGAGAAAGTAGATCCCTGGCTTACTTTAGACAGATGGTATATTATTAAGGCATAAAAGTAGCTTTAGACCCATACTGTCCAATGTAGCAGCAAAGTGTGGCTATCGAGCGCTTGATATGTGGCTAGTTTCCACATGTTGAAATGATAATATTTTGGACATACTGGGTTAGACAGATTATTAATATTAATTTTACCTTTTGCCTCTTTATTTTACCTGGATATTGGAAACTGTAAAATTAAATATGCAGCTCACATTCCATTTTTTTGGATAGCACTGCTCTAGAACCAGAACATCGGTTCTTTCTGGGTCTGCAGCTATTAGCTATGTGAGTAGCTCTCTGTGCTTTTCATCTGTAAAGTGGGGATTATAATAACATCCACCCTACAGGGTCATTGTGAAAAGCAACAATCTGATGCATGTGAGAGGCTCGCAATGCATCCTGCTCGTAATAAACTGGTCCCAAGTGCTCAGAAAGGGAAAATCAGCAAGGCTTAGAGATTATAAGGTCAAGAAGGAGTCTAGGGTAAGTGCAAGGTGTGAGCTTGGATAACTAGAAAGATTATTCACAACGCCATAAGAAATGTGAAGAATAATATGTATAAAGGTAATTCACTGCAGCATTATTTGTAAAGCAAGAGATGATAACCCAAACCTCTGTGAGTAGGATGCTGGTCACATTTATGTAACACGCTAGATGAGAAGAGAGGTTTTGTGTGCTGATGTGGAACTGTCTTCATGTATACTTTAAAATGGAGAATCAAGGTGCAGAACAACAATATAGTATTTCTTGAATGAGAATATTTCTTGAATGAGTAATAAGAAACTTCTTGACTATAAAGAGGAATTTGATTGACTGGGACATAGGGGTGAAAAAAAATGACTCTTTGCTGTATCTTCTTTTGAGTTTTGAGTTTTAGGAATGTAGTATGTGCATATAAATAATGAAACTTTCAAATAAATTACCTTTTAATTGGGCAGCATGGAGGGAGAGTTAGTTACTTGAAAGAAGATGACCACAAGAGAGAGGTCATAGATTGGGTCCCAATAGCTGCTTGGAAGTGTTGGGTTATGGGCCAAATAAGCGTTGAATTAATTACCGTTTTTGCTCTGATTTTAAGAAAAGGCAAATGAATGTAATTAAATCACTGCTTTAATGCACTAGTTAATAAAATTCAACTGCCTTCTTATTAGGTTCATGTGAGCATTTCTAAGGGAACCAGCTCTCTTCCAAGATCGTGCTAGTAGGTGAATCGATTAAGAAACAAAAGACCCAGTCCTTTGCTTGGAAACCATATTCTAGTTATGAAAATAAATATGTAAACTCGTGATAAAATGACATGGTTGCAGTCGCTAACAGAAGGATAAACTGGGGAAAACTAGTTCTGCCTGGTGGGAAGGACTGGTCAAGGAGATAATTTTGCATTAGATCTTGAAAGATAAACTTAGGAGTGCTTGGAAGTGAGTGGTTCGCAGAGGGAGGAGTAAGAGGGAAGGAGGAAGGCCTGTATGTGTGACCCAAGGAGCCTGGAGTCATTTCCTGGGGCCCGTATGCTGGTCCAACAGGTGGGAGTTGAGAGGCAAACATCAGATTTGAGGATATGTGTGGACCTTTAACAACTCTCACAAATTGTGACTATTTTCTGTGTCCTTCTGACTATGGGTGAAAACTTTCATATGTAAATAAGTCTGCAAAGAGCAAAACTGACTCAGGAGAAATTGTCCAGTGGTGGGACACAGAGAACTTTTTGGAAGAGATAAGGATGTGAGAAAGGATATGACAGACCAAGAGGAACTGGAGGACACTTGAGAGTTAATAGAGTCAATCTGAGGTTGCGGACTCGGTAGAGATGTGAGGTAGAGAATCAGGAAGCACTGGGCAGAGATATGAGGAAGCATTGGGCAGCCTGCCTGGCTACTGGACTTTGTCTTTTGTTTCTAGATCTTTGTTTCTGTATCCTCAGCAACTAGCCTGTGTCATTGTGACACTGTGTGACTAAGTGGGAAGTAACAGACTCACTGCACACTGGGTGTCTCTGTGTGGCCTGTGTGCTAGGACTCCTGCCTCTGGGAAAGCAACTCCCTAGTCCCACATGCCTTGTTCTAGGACAGTGCAAGAGAGTGTTAAGAATTTACTCAAAAAGCCAAGTCTAAGGGAAAACCTAGTTTCCTGAGTGGAAACTATATTCCACGGAGGACTCAGGGGCCTCAGTTGATAGTGCCTCCAGACTGTCACTACTGTCATATACTGTCACATGCTGATCATGCAAAATGACCTCAGGTCCATCAAGGGGCTCCTGACTGGCCTGTCACTGACCTTACTGTGTTCACCAGCTGGTAAGATATTGCCAGTATTTTCATTTGGCTCTATCTAGCCAAAGTTACCCATGTCATATGCACTTAGACTAGAAAGTTATCATTACATAACTTTCATTTATAACTGCAATATTATCACCAAAATAGAGCCATTTTTTCTATCACAAATGTCCCGGGTAGCAATCCAAGCTAGTTACCATATCTCAAGTTTCATGCTTATTTATTTCCCATTATGATTGGGAGAATTCCTCTCCCACCATGGGCAAGAAAGGTAATTTTTTTCTATTTTGAAATACATATATCAGCCTTACTTAGGGAACTCTTTTATGTGCTGGATATTATGTTAAGTGCTATGAATAAATACTATGATCAATGAAGTCTCTGTTTGCAGTAAACTTACAGTCTAGCGGGGGGGAGGAAGGGGCAGAACAGATGCAAACAACAGAAATATTAGAAAATTTAATAGGTATCATGACAGAATTTTATTTGGATTTTCTAGGAGTTGCAAAGGGGCCAGCTCTTCTGACCACGGGAGCAGGGGAGTTCCAGAGTTAATGACATCAAACTGATGGGGAGAGTTGACCAAGTAAAAGGACAGAAAGTGTATTTGGTCAAAGTAGTGTTCGGAGCATGGGGAGCAAAGGCACTGAGGGGAAAAGCTGTGGATTTGGTGTGTTCATGGAAGTGAATCTGTCTGGTCAGGGGTGGCGAAAGGAGAATTGGGGAGAGGGAAGGATCATGAGAAGCCTTTGACAATAAGCCTACTTCATCTTGGAGGTGTGGAGATAGAGGGATAGTTCAGGGAGAACAGAACATGGACAACTTGGGGGGCAAGTAAGTAAGGCTGAGGTGTGAAAGGAGCCTAACTGTGTTGACCCAGAAGGCAGAGTGACATTTACTGAGTGTGGGAAACATGGGCCTAAAGGCACACATTATGAATGAATTTGAACTTGGTCTTTAGGGCAAAGAGGCTGAAACAGGTAGTCATATAATCAGCCACGTATTTTATGAGAATCTTTCTAGCAAATGCTTGGCAAGTGATCAAAAGGGGATAGGCCCAGAGAAAGGCAGGAAAGCCAGTCGTGGAGTGGGTGCTCTGGTGAGCAGTGCTGGTGGCCTGGACTTTGGGGTGGCGGAATGTGGGAAGGTAGGCCACATTTCACTCTGTGTCTTTTCCAATACTAAGCAAGCAGAACAAAAAACCACATTTGACACTTAGGGTGTTAATTTAAATTTTTTTTTTCCTTGTTTTCATGTCTGGTCTTTACCCACACTATCCCTCATATTCTTGGTATAAACAACCTTTCCTGGGGGCGCTCCTTCAGCCCCTTAGCCCAGCTGTTCCCGTGGCATCCTGTCTGTCCCCCAACATAGCTGTCACCACATTTTCTCACAGTTATTGGGTCAGTCGCCTGTGATCTCTGCTACACTGGCAGGGACTCTTTTCATCATGCTGTTGTGTCCCCAGTACCTCATGCCTGGCACACAGTAGGTACTTCATAAATTTTTGAGTGGATGAATAAATGAACTATTAATTCCGATAGGTTCTCCATATTTTAGCAAGAGGACTTAAAACTTTTTAATTTGTTCCAAGATATTAACTGTCTTTTTTCCTGCCCTTCCCTCCAACCCTTAGTACGTGGAGAACAGTAAAAAGACACTTAGTAAATAAGATAATAGTTTTTTGTGTGATTATTTTAGCTCTTATATGTATCACTCAGTACTTCAAATAAATTTAAGAGCCTAATAGTCATATTTTAAACAAACCCATAGACAGCATTCTCTAGCTGTTTATCTTGCTACCAGGTTGCTGAGTTTAAAATTCAAAAGCCCTGAAAATGTGGTTCCTCCTCTCAGCCATCCTTATTTGCAGCGCCCCCCCATGGAAGGCCCTGGTGCCCTCCAAGCCCTCCGGCTCTGCTGCCACTCCTTTGTGGTGTTAAGGACATGAGCCTTAATGCAAGTTTTCCCATTAAGACATCTTTCTTGGTTGGTATAGACATTTTAGAAGTTTGTATTCTTCCCAGTCAGCCATGACTGCGCCTACACCTCTCCCTGGGGTGAGTCAGGACTAGAGCCAGTAGCCGTGTGCCTCCCCTTCCTCTCCCTTTATGCTTGACACAGGCCTTGCAACTCAGTCACTGATTGCACATGGCCTTGATCTTCAGCTGTCTTCTATGGTCAGTCTTACCTGTATGACAGGTGATAAAGTCTTCAGGAGCAGAGATGGTGTCACTCATTGTTCCTCATCCTTACCAGCACTGGGATTCTGTGTGATTGTGAAAGCAGAAGGCAAGTGGTAAATGCTTCCAACAGTTCTGTGAAATACCCACCACCTCCAAGACACCTTTCCTTCAGTTTGGCCACCACACCCCCCTGGAAGTCCACATGGGACTCACACTGTGACTTAAATCTATAGAACTTAAATAATGAGGGAAAAAAAAAAAAGCCACACCCAAAAAAAAAAAAAAGATATTTGGTGGGTGCCACTGCACACAATTTGGAGTATCTTTTCTCTAACTGAGAGACTGACTCACTTTGTTGACTGAATCTGACAAGGATTTTACCCTTTTTAGAGGCAGGAATGAAATAGCATGATGGTACTTTCTTGGGATGTTTATAGCAGGTTTTAAATTCTCCTAAATGTTCTCACCATTCAGCTTCTTTGTTTTCCCTCCTGTTAGGATCCGCGACAGTGGGTCTCTTTCTCAGTCTTTCTGCGTTTGGCTTAATTGAAGACGGAGGTTATGAAGTCGATCCTGGATGGCCTTGCAGACACCACCTTCCGCACCATCACGACAGACCTCCTTTATGTGGGCTCCAATGACATTCAGTACGAAGACATCAAAGGTGACATGGCATCCAAACTAGGGTACTTTCCACAGAAATTTCCTCTCACTTCCTTTAGGGGAAGTCCCTTCCAAGAAAAGATGACTGCAGGAGACAATGCCCAGTTAGTCCCGGTAGACCCGGCAGCAAACATTACTGAATTCTACAACAAGTCCCTTTCTTCCTTCAAGGAAAATGAGGAGAACATTCAGTGTGGGGAGAACTTCATGGACATGGAGTGCTTCATGATTCTGAACCCCAGCCAGCAGCTGGCCATCGCCGTGCTGTCCCTCACGCTGGGCACCTTCACGGTTCTGGAGAACCTGCTGGTGCTGTGTGTCATCCTCCACTCCCGCAGCCTCCGCTGCAGGCCTTCCTACCACTTCATCGGCAGCCTGGCCGTGGCAGACCTCCTGGGGAGTGTTATTTTTGTCTACAGCTTCGTTGACTTCCACGTGTTCCACCGCAAAGATAGCCCCAACGTGTTTCTGTTCAAACTGGGCGGGGTCACAGCCTCCTTCACCGCCTCGGTGGGTAGCCTGTTTCTCACTGCCATCGACAGGTACATATCCATTCATAGGCCCCTGGCCTATAAGAGGATCGTCACCAGGCCCAAGGCGGTGGTAGCCTTCTGTCTGATGTGGACCATAGCAATTGTGATCGCAGTGCTGCCTCTCCTGGGATGGAACTGCAAGAAATTGCAATCTGTCTGCTCAGACATTTTCCCACTCATTGACGAAACCTACCTGATGTTCTGGATTGGCGTCACCAGTGTGCTGCTGCTGTTTATTGTGTATGCATACATGTACATTCTCTGGAAGGCCCACAGCCACGCGGTCCGAATGATTCAGCGAGGCACCCAGAAGAGCATCATCATCCACACGTCGGAGGATGGCAAGGTACAGGTGACTCGGCCAGACCAAGCCCGCATGGACATTAGACTGGCCAAGACCCTGGTCCTGATCCTTGTGGTTTTAATCATCTGCTGGGGCCCTCTGCTTGCAATCATGGTGTATGATGTCTTTGGGAAGATGAACAAGCTCATCAAGACTGTGTTTGCCTTCTGCAGCATGCTATGCCTGCTGAATTCCACCGTGAACCCCATCATCTATGCTTTGAGGAGCAAGGACCTGAGACATGCTTTCCGGAGTATGTTTCCGTCTTGCGAAGGCACCGCACAGCCTCTGGATAACAGCATGGGGGACTCAGACTGCCTGCACAAACACGCCAACAACACAGCCAGTGTTCACAGGGCTGCGGAGAGCTGCATCAAGAGCACAGTCAAGATTGCCAAGGTGACCATGTCTGTGTCCACAGACACGTCTGCCGAGGCTCTCTGAGCCTAATGCCTCCCTGGCAACACAGGAAAAGAAATACCCCCTCTTTTTTTTTTTTTAAAGCTCAAAATCTAGAAGAGTCTGTCCTCTCATCGGTTATATATTTTTTTACGTTTACCATGCTCAGTGAAAAGGTGATTATCACCGTGATCAGTTATCAGTTCTCTACTGTTTCAATAGTGTAGGTACTCCAACTCACTTCTCCAGGGGTTTATGATGAAGGAAGCGTGTGACTTATATGACTGAAAAGTTCTTCAGAGTCTTAATGAAATAGGAGAGAAACATTTGGCTATACAATTTGACGTCCAAGTACCCATAGAAAAATGCCATCAAATGAGTAATGCCTTTTAACCACAGCTTTCATTATAATGTGAAATATATTTGTCCATCAGTATCAGAGATGTCCATTTTTACAACAGTTACAATATTTAAAGTAGAGCTATTTTGTAAAATGTATTGTGTCCTGCAAGATGTGTATTGGTGTGTACTATGTGTTATTTATATTTGTCTAGTTCAGCAAAACCGAAAGGTAGACTTCCTTGAGAACAGTGGATTACAAGCAGTGGGCATATACCAATGTGATCACTTTTTAACAAATTATTGCCCGTGATATAACTTTAGAAACCTTAATATTTTTTCAAATCTCTCTATTTAAATTTGACATTGAAATAACCACAAAGGTTTATTTTTCTGTGACAAGAAGAATCTGAAGGCTTTCCAAAGTACTGAACAGAATTCATTAACACTTAAACATTTACTAACCCTGCATTTTCATTGAGGACATTTATTATCTTCTGGACTATCACTGTTCTGCTGAGTGATGGATTACAATCAGAATGGAAGAGAGAAGGCATATTGACTTCTTTGGCTGACATCTCTGACTTTCTTTAGTCTTTAGCTAATATTGGACTTCTTAAGACAGCATGTGTCAATCTTAATGTATATTGTTATCACTGTGCAATTGTTATTTACTTGAAGAGTATTGCATTCTTAAATTCCAGGTTTAAGTAGATTTCATGCCTGGGTGGCCAAACAACAGTCTTCATTTATTTCTTAATTGAAAAGAAGTATTGTCTGGATCAGTAAAATTATAATGTGTGTGAGTGTGAATATAAATGTGTGTATGTGTGTGTTTCTATCCTGTAACTGTTACAGTAATGTCATAAAGTGAGAAAACTGTGACCAAGTGTAAGCTGTATCACTTGCTGCACTCTTGCACATAAATCAGTTTCTAAAATTGAGTTCTTCCAGAAATCTTGTTGATAAAAATACTGACCACAAACATTCAGAAGATCCCCATAAGGGACTGGGTCAAGTATTACTAAATTGACTGTAGATATTCCATCAGACCAGTGTTTATCAAGGGATAATCAATGATGAACATTCAAGAGAAGATCCATATTTACCGGTGTTGTCAGGAAATGAGAGTGTTTTTGGTTTCTGAGTATCTATCGATCAGGACCATGAAAATGTAAGTCATTACAAGGGATGTGGTTCTGAAAAAATCCCAGTGGTAACATTTTTCGATCGTACGTGTAGGCAGTTGTGATCCCAGTGTAAGGGGCACTAAACACTGCTTGCTGAAGTGCGACAACCAGATCTGGCCCGTGTGGCTAAGGAGACCGGTCAGACCATGGAAGAGACAGAAAAAGGACAGTGAGGAGGTGACACACCGCCCTTGAGACATAGACAGCATATGACTGCTTCTGTGCTTCACCCAGATGCCCTTGGTGATAACCAGCACCCAGCTTGTCTGGGTAGGTTTGGGCTAAGGAATAGCCCCCTCGCTCTGATCCAGGTTAACAATGTCTAACGTATAAAAGTTAGCACAGCTTTCTTGCTTCCTATGTCCCAGTTTCAAACTCCTTATTGGTACCATGGGTGCTCAGAATTAGACCCTTCCCAGTAAGCATTGATACTGCTTATGAAGCCATTTGGCCTTGACAGGTTTTACTTATAATCTTCTCATTATAAATAAAGCACGGCTTCTGTAGGACCCAGAGGCTGGCATGATATGAAGTGAGTTAGAGAATTAGCTTTTTCTTGGTGATTTCCAGCTAGCCAGATACCCAAGCAGTCTGATGGGGCAGTGTCCTTTCTTGTAGTTTATGGTCTAAGACTGAATATGACCAAGCTGGAATGTTTTTAGTTGTCTGTCTATAGAGCTCAAATCTACCTACTGGTTCCCTCCCTTTACCTCTCTGAGATCTGCAGATGAGGGCTCAGGGTGCTAGCAGATTAATAAGATCTCTTTAGAAGAAGAAAAGATTATGAAAAAACTCATCATAGTCTAGTTACCATTTAAGAATTTTCCCTTTTTTGGTCCCACATCACCCTGAATATAACCCACCTATCTCAGAGCTCACCAGGCAGTACGACTCTCTTCTCACAGCTATGACAATCTGGTGAAATTCTTGTAATTGGTAGAGCAATTCCAGGATTCATATATGAAACTGCATTTGTGTGTATGCGATGTAGATTTTATAGTGTGTTTGTGCTTTTAAGATCTAAATCATAGATAATAAATTAAGGGACAATGGGGCTGACAGCACTAAACTTGGTGCTTACTGATATTCTAAGAAATATCTGTGAAAAATCATGTATGTCTTGCACCACCTTCATTTTAAAATGTTTGAATTAGTTTGATTTGCTTTGACACTTTCAATATCATTTCCTAGACCAAGTGACTCAAATGTTCTCCCCAATGAATATACTCATTAGAATTACCTTCATCAGAATTATTCATTAACTAGTCCCTTAATTAGACCCATTAACTTAAATATAATTTAGATTTCAGTACATTTTGTAAGGTCTGACTTCAGAGTTGTCTACTCTCCTGTGACGGTGACATATTTGTTCTGACCTTGCATTTCACCATCTCTCATGTCTTCAGAAGGGGCCAAATTCCCAACCTGCTTAATTTCTCCAGGGTAATAATGGATTTTTCAGCTCTAGACAAACAGTTTTTAGACAAGGAAGGCTGTCTCCAAGGACCACTAATATTTCACTACATATGAGATATATGTAAGAGAAACATAGCTCTTGGAGAAGCTGCAGACATATGCCTACACTTGAGATGATTCCCACGACCCCCCATCCCGTTGAGTCAGGTCTATCTGGCATTAAGTATCAAGGAAGTTTGGCTGCCTAAACCCACGCTGCAGGAAATAGGCCCAACCACCAGATGAGAATTAGGCCCTGGATGAGTAGCATTTTAGTTACTGTCCTGTTGATTAATTTCTGCCATTCCATGTCTGTAAAAGAGACCACCAATATCATGCGCAAAATTAGATTTCTCATAATCTAACTGTATATTTGTATGATATTTTCAAAATCTCCTAAATGCTGGGCAATGGCTATCAACAATTGTCTTGCACTGGCCTTCTGATGAAATGTTAACAATGCCTATTGTAACATAGACAAGACATTTTATCTACTGATTTTGGCTGAATGTATGTAAATAGGTTTAAAAAAAAAAGTCAGATGTTTAAGCAGTGGCTTACAAATCAGTAATTTTCAGATAGGAGAGTTTCCTTACATTGCTGTGGCACCCTAAAAGCTATCTTCTCGTAAACTTAGTGTACTAGGCCTGCTGGGGATTGGAGTCCCCAAGGAAGGAAAACTTTCCTTGTAATAATATGAATCAAGATACCAGATTATCTGGAATCTTACTTCCAATGTTTCAAGTGGAAAACATAACTATTGTCTGTAAATTTAACATTATTACTTTTCCTCTTAGAAGAATATTGTATTGTTAGATGTTTGTTGAGCTGGTAACATCCTTGCAATTGCTGCAATATCTTCGTTAGTAATCTGTATAATACTTTATACACAGGTACTAGTAGGTTGTTATTCAATGTAGCTTCAGTCATTAAATTACTATAGTAAAGTAGTACTTCTGTAATATTTACAATGTATTAAGCCCATACTCTATTTTATTTTAATGATGTAATTAAATTGTTACTTATTCAAAGAGAAAACATCCCACCATGTTTGTTGTCCGAAGTTACCTGGAATCAAATAAAAATTCTAGATTATCATGAAGAACATAAAATGTCTTTGAAGTTTGCCTTATTCCAGTCTGATATTAAAACACTTGGGATTTAAATTCTAAAAGATGGTCGAGCAACTGATTTGTTTCCTAATAGCACTTACAACTTTGAGACATGGGGAGAAGTTAGATGAATATAATCATTCTGAACATAGGAAAAAAATGTGCAAAAAGCCATCATTTACATAGTAAAGGGAGAAAAAAATCTGCCATACATTTCTAAAATATTATTTCATTAAAGAGTTTAATGATTTTTCAGTAAATTAAAACAAATGTACTGTTCATAATATGTAAATCAAATTTAGCAGATTTGAGTAGATAACTCTAGAGAATTTAAAAACATCACATATTCTGAACATGAGAAATAGATAACTACTTTTGATAAAGCTTATAAAAACTTACACAATTTTATTTGAATAATAAGAGAAATAGCTGTTAAGTTTTATGATGATGTAAAAAACATTACAATTAAATTTACACATATTACTATCTGAAATAAAGTATGTTTGCAGTCAATTTTGAAGGGAGGTTTTAAAGTTTTCAAATGATGAAATGGTAAATATTTGAAAATAGATTATATTTATAATTAAGATTCATCATTCAGTCTTTTTCTTGTAAACTCTGTGGTTAACTATATAAATTGAATACTTCCAGCAAACAGCAAATGCCTGGTTCTTAGTTTTTAAATTTTACCCAGATTTGAAGGGAGTATGATACTTATTTTATGATTTTCAGATAGCATCTTGAAACTCAAAAAATGATCCCTTCCTCCATCAATATGTGTGGCCATCTACATTGAAACATATACTTAAATGATGTAAAAAACAAAACAAAATAGTAGAGGTGTGCAGAAGCTCCGCTGTGTCCCCCAGAGATGGTTGCAACTGAAAAAAGGTCCACCCTCACATCTGGAATATTCTATGACAACAGTTTCTTTTGGATTGAAGATGATACAGTCTCAACTCCACACAATATATGTCATCATTGTCCCTTAACGCTCTGTCCTAAGAATGCTGGTTAGGGATATTTGGAATGTACATGTCTGATTACTGAGGAGGGGTGAACATTGAAGAATGGACAGGTGTCTGGACATTACAGAAGTGCTGGTCATCAGGTTGCTGTCTTAACCACTTCAGATGTGTCTGGGTAAGGTTAAATTGTGAACATATAAGGTTATAGGGTATGTTGTTCCCTGTGACACATCCAAAGGAAAAGGGAATGAAGAAATTCACAACAGGCATGAGCAATTAATGTTTCAGTTTTGGGTTAAGAGAACTGAGATATTGATTCTCCCCATTTTAGACTGTAGTACCTTGTTCACTGCTGGGAAAATGGGCCTCATGTATTTGTAAAGCTAATGAATGGTTTTCTCTGAAGACTAAGAAATGGATAACTAATTCAACACTTCAATTATTTACTTTAATAGTAACAATAATAATAACAAAAGAACCCTAACATCCTAACATCTTTGGGTAAAGCTGATGTGCTTAAAATATTCATTGATCCTTATCCTGTACACAATCTTGGCTGACCTCAGAATCCATGACAAATGTCAAAGAGACCCAGCTGTTGGGTTGGAAAGAATACT